ATGCAAAAAGAACTATTCAAGTGATTTTTCATCCTTTTGGCATGGTTCTACAGGATTAGGTGCATTTGATCTGTGTCATTTGTGGACTCGGGTGGGCTTTTTATTCAAATTCTATGGCATTTACCTTAACATTCAATAGTGGAAGGCAGAGCTCTCACCCAGCAGAAAAAATTACTTTTTTGTTGTTGTTGTTGCTATGATCCAAGGATGATCTTTAACTTTATGCATGTATCTACAGAGATATCTAGCCTGCATATATGATTGTATGTGAAATAAGGCAATTATATATATGTTCACAGAAAGAGCTAGGCTTTTGTCTCCAAAAGCACACACACACACAAAAATATATATATATTACTATATATATTTTTATATATATAAATAAAATCTTTGTATATTTCTTAGGAATATATAATGTAATGAGAGAGTGGCAGGTCAAACTAAGTGTTCTTTAGGTCTAGTATTCTATTTCCTACAATGTTGAGGAGTGGAGGTTTAGGAAAGAACACAAGAGGAGGCAAGTAATTCTAATGTTTTCCTCTTAACACTTTCCCAGCCTTCAGTGTCTTTAAATTTTCGCGACTTTCTGAACCTGATCAAGGTTTGTTGATGTCTCAAATGTTTTCAATCTTCCTTGGAATCTGCTTACTTTTTGTGGATCTGAAACATCCTTTGCCAAAAAATTATGCTATATGAAGAACAACTTCCTTTTGTTAATTTTGAATTTTGTGCCTTTTACTATTATTTGGTATCTTCTCATACTGATATTGAATCTTGACTTAAGTTTGAAGTTGCAAGTCCAGCCATAGTTAGCTGTGTGCTGAAGGATGGCTTAGAATACCAATTCAGTGGCATTTTTGCCAATCAAATACAAAGAATACTTGACATTTTCTTTCCCAACCATATTATGGTCTGTCATTCTGGACCATTCCATCACAAGAAAAAACCTTATGCGTAATTGCTCACATTTATCCCGTTAGCTTTCTTGTTGTGGTAACTGCTTGCACAAATCAGGACTAAGCTTTAGTTTGCATAGCTCAGAAAACTGTGTTAACAAGACAGCAATCTAATGTCATCTATTGCCTGAGGGAAAAGAACCCACAAGTTAAGCAAAGTGTGTAGAGTGATTGACTGTCAGCAATAAAACATTCACACAGGGCTACCACAAAGTTCAGATGGTTTGGCGAGGCCTTCTAGGCTGTTCTATTCTAACAGAGTCAATTCTAACAGTGTACAAGGAGGGAATTTAATGAATAGTCAATCAAATGTGTCTTCTGCAGGGAATGGTGCTCCTCTTCCTTTCTCCATACTGTGTTTTGCTACACAACAATGAACAGCCCAGACATTTCGAAAAAGGGTCATGAGCTTCTTAAGCAAGCGCAGAAAACAAGAAAGGCAAATTGTCTCACATCTTTGTTAGAACATTTCTCCTTCATCAGCCTGAATGCTCTTTTTCCATAAATTAAGCTATAAACTTCCAGAACAAGAGTCCATGCCTTCTTGAAAGCCTTCCTGAAAAGCACCTAGGATAATGAAGTTTCCTTCCTTCTTCTGGCTTTTAGGAATCACCATAATATAAAAAAATAAATAAAATTATTCTAATTCATGGTCATGGCACATAAACAGACTCCTTCGTATCAGCTTGGGAACACGATAATTAATTGCTTTTTAAAAATGAATTAATAAATAGTATTCCCAAACATGTACAGCTCAGGGAGGATGCTCAGTTTATTGCCTGAAAATAGAAGCTTTTTGTTCATAAATAAATAGGATGTGGGAACATTTTCAAGTTTACAAGTCTGTCTGGGGGTCATATTTCTGAAAGCATTCAAGTGCCTAATGGTGCGAGCATGAAAAGTCCCCCCCAGGAGTTTTTCTTCATCTTTTGATACCCACAGGTACTGGACAGTTGTTGCTGAAACGTGTTCTGGGAGGAGACAGACTGACTGAAAGGAGTTGCTTGCTCTTAGAAAGTGATTTAAGATCAATAGATGTTCATTCCAGGGGCAAGACTCAAGTTCATTTTTTAAGGACTTGCTATTTCTGCTGACCTTGTCCACTGATAGGCTACATTGTGAGGTACTGCTAACTGAGATAAGGCTTCTCTGGTGTGAACAAACATTATTAGGAATTTAACTGAAGTAATGGCTTTTGTTTAAATCGGTTTGTCAGTGACCTGCTGAATGCAGATTAGGCTACGGAGGCTGTGTTATTGTTCGTATTGATACTGGAGATACAGAAATTACCTTACAAAATCTCCAATCTTTTCATTCTCATCCCTTTACTGTGGGAAGTCTTTGCATTTTGAAAAATATCTACCAGAGCGTGGTAGCACTGACAAATCAGGGTACTTTAAAACTCCAGTATCTGCTATATTCATTCATCATCAACATCTTTTGTGTAGTGGCTAATTCCACGCATGTTCATCATCATCACTTTGTGCACAGAACTGTCTTTAACAGTCACAGCCAGCTGTGAGGACATGGCACTACAGAGAGATGCCATACAGTTGATAAGTAGATTCGTATGGTTCTTGGTTATCCTCAGTCACCAACACTGGGGCGATTGAGACAGTAATGAAGTGTGCTTGTCTTCTTTCTTCTCTCGTATTTCTTATTGATGCCTGATGATTTTATGCTATTTCCCCTCCCAAAACTGGAGGACTTAACTCCTTAACTAGAATGTTTTCAGTTTTGACAGTCATGGTTCCTAAGTGTTTGGCAGAATGTCCACCTATTTGCAGCCCATCATGCTTATTCTCTGCATGGAAAAAATTGTTACATAGACTGCTACCTGCAACTATACCCATCTTAATTAGTCATGTTCCTCACATACTGAAGTAAAATGCATGTATATTGGATCTTATGTGTCATGAGTGTCACAAAATACTTCTATTCTGCTGTTAGTTACACCACCCTCGTACATATTTGGGTTGAAGACAAATTAGTAAAAATTATATCCTGATTAATATATTTATAGTTTCTAGGTGGCATAGACCTCTGTTTTACTACAGGAGCATATTTTCTGTGTTTCTGACCTGTATTCCCATGGCACAGCAGGCTTGTGGCCTGTACTGCCTTACTGTCTGAACACCGCTGGCCACACTGTGCAGTGACCTTGTAAGACAGATAAATATTTCCTTAGTCTTCCCATGACTATTTCTGCAGATATTGAATCTGCAGTCCCTTGCAGGGGTGGAAAGGAACTGTATCTGTGCACCCATGTTAGATGTTTACTTCTTTAGCAGCAGTTCAGTCCAATCCTCAGAAAACCCTCGGTGCACTCTCTTCTGTCATGCCCACATTTTCAGCGTACTCTACATGAGTAAATCTGATACCAGCCTCATTGGGAGGGAATGCACAAGTAGAGAAGCTGATGTTTTTATCTCCATAACTATTCTTCAGTGATAATGAGATGACTGAAATGACTACTATTCTCATTCTCCCTAACTGATGAGGTGATTTGCTATCACCTCAATGGGCCAAGTAAGCACTCCTGGCCCAAACTTTTTTCCTTTATATTTTTAGGTAGTGAGGGAAAGTATTTTGAAATAGGAGCTTGCTACTAGCTGATGAAGTCAGCAATAGAGTTACTTACAACTAAGAAAGGGAAAATGAATAAATTTGCCTTAGGCAATCATAGAATCATAGGATTGAAAAGGCCCACAATGATCATCTTGTTTCAACCCCCTGCTATGTGCAGGGTCACCAACCAGCAGACCAGGCTGCCCAGAGCCACATCCAGCCTGGCCTTGAATGCCTCCAGGGATGGGGCATCCACAGCCTCCTTGGGCAACCTGTTCCAGTGCGTCACCACCCTCTGTGTGAAAAACTTCCTCCTAATATCTAACCTAAACCTCCCCTGTCTCAGTTTAAAACCATTCCCCCTTGTCCTATCACTATCCACCCTCACAAACAGCCATTCCCCCTCCTGTTTATACGCTCCCTTCAAGTACTGGAAGGCCACAATGAGGTCTCCCTGGAGCTTTCTGTTCTCTAAGCTAAACAAGCCCAGTTCCCTCAACCTTTCCTCATAGGAGAGATGCTCCAGCCCTCTGATCATCTCAGTGCCCTCCTCTGGACCCCCTCCAAGAGCTCCACGTCCTTCCTGTGCTGGGGACCCCAGGCCTGGACGCAGTACTGCAGATGGGGCCTCACAAGAGCCGAGTAGAGGGGGACAAGCACCTCCCTCTCCATGCTGGCCACCCCTTTTTTAATGCAGCCCAGAACACAGTTGGCCTTCTGGACTGCAAGCGCACATTGCCAGCTCGTGTCCACCTTCTTGTCCACCAGGACCCCCAAGTCCCTCTCTGCAGGGAAACACACAGTAGATCATATTGAGAACTTAGAAAACTCTAACCATGAGAGCACGGTTTTGTTTCATTTAATGGGGTGCCACCCTATTCAGTTCACAAGTGATGCACTACGTCCTGGGCCCAGTGGTACACTCATGTGTACCATTTTTCCAGGAGAATCACAAATCACACCCTGTGATTTGGGCCTCATCTGGTAACTATTCCTATTTCTTGAACTAGTCATTTATCTACTGAAATATTAAAAACATTCAATTTATTTTCATTGGATCTATCTGACACGAAGAAAATAAAAATATCTAGGATTTAAAATGTATTACTTGGCATGATTAAATGGTGAAATGAATGAAGTTTTTATGCATGATTGGTAATTATTTAATAATTAAAGAGCTCTTATGAATATTCTTGAACACCCTGTGGAAAAGCTAAATGGTACTCTGATTTCATCAAGCATTCAAATAAAATCAGAATTTATTTTTATAAGATCATTATAAAGATAGTCTGCAGGAACATCACCACGATAACGCAAACAGAACAGAAATGTTACTCGCTATAACACCTCTTCTTTTTTAGTATAAGACCTTGATTTTTCCATGCAAAAGATTTTTCTGCACTAATGTATTTCAGGTGAACTCAATTCCAAATGCCGTTTCAGCCAGTCAGGTTTCATCAGTGGTTCAGTGATAGGTTAAGGGTGGACTAAGCTTGGTCTGTAAGTGCAGATGAATGGCAGCCTCTGGCTGCAAGGGGAGCTTTCCCATTGAGCCCCTCCTGGAAAAAGACAAAGGGCGATCACAAAGGAAAATCAGATGTGATAGAGAACCATTTCACTCCTGACATGAAATCATTCAATCTCAGCTTAGTCTCTGCAAATCTCATTTTGTTTTAATTTGTGTTTCCATAGTACGTACATTGCAGGTTTGTGCAATATTTTAATAAGATGGTGTTTTCTTTCTTATACTGGAAAGAGTTATCCCACTGAAATGTCAGAAGTTCAAGATCAAAGTAAACTACAGGAATCATAAATCATTCCAGTTTTCCTTACCTCCAATGTTGACCATCAGGCAAAGTTTTATGTTAAACAGGTTGTTAATTAGTCCTCCAATGGCATGGAAAATAGATGACAGAGGCCTCTGGACAAAGGTTATTAGAGATCCATCACTCCATCTCAACAAAGAACCCTGCAGACAAAAAAGAAATTCTTCAGAAATCTAATGGGAATTCAGGATGCTTTTAAATTCTGAAAGTTGTTCGGATGTTGTTACAGTTACATATTTACTGATATGGAAAAAGGACTGAGTGGAGACTTTCCTCCTTACGGTTGCTGAAAGAGTTATTGCTTGTGAGGATATCACTGTTCTGTAGAACAGCATGAATAATTCATTTTTAATTCTGTATTAGATTAATTTCACCTCATACTCTGTTCGTGAATTGTCCTCAAATAAATTGTAATTTTCTTGAATATATTTGTTATTCAGAGCAGACAATAGCACTCATGAGTAATTCATTGCAGGTAGGTGACATTCAGATTTTGAGACGCTCGGGATGGACACACGGGTCACTCATGCACCCTGTTGCATGCTGAAACTTAAGGAATTGAGTTTCTACTTCTAAAAGGCACTTACAAATCTGAAATTCACTTGCTTTTGCCACTCTAAAATGCTAATTTTAAATTCATCATATCAGCAAAAGCACTGGTAGATTCATTGGCTGGAACACTGGTGGGAGGACATTCTGAACAAATTCATTAAAAGAATCTGAATGAATACATTCATTTATAGAACCAAGTTGAGTCTACTGACCTGGTATTCTGGTAAACTGAGATTAAGTAGAGAAATTAGTACCCACCATCCATCCTCTTCTTTGAGATTTGTACCTCAGCTCTCCTTCTTCAGGTGGAATTTAATTGGAATATGATGTTAATGAGAGTTTATCCCTTCAAAATTTTTTCCCTTTAACTCCTATCTTTTCCCATCTTCTGAAATCATTGAAAGAATATAACAGAAGTATTTAATACTTCTTTTAGTTTCAGTGAGACTGAAATTATTTTCTATGGCAACAAAGGGAAGATCTCCACTTGAAAAAAAAAATAAAAATAAATAATAGATTTATCAGTTGAGTCCTAAAGTTCTTTTGACTGATGTTCATTTTCACTTCTGGTCCTGGCATACTTGCCTTTTGGTAAGTTCCCCCTGTCCAGAACTGGGTATTCTGTTGTCCCTGAGAAAGCTTACGAAGGAATTCATTCTGTTCTGCGCTGGTGATGCTGGTTAGGTGACCTCCTGCACTTATAGCCGAACATGTTTTCTGTACAGTAGAAAGAGTGAAACACGGAAAATAAAAAATGGCTACAGCTTTGTCATGACAAGATTTCTGAATAAGAAGTGGGCAAGCTAAAAATGTAGAATGAATGATTAGGAGATGGAAAGGGACAGGCAATAAGAGAAAGTCCAAGAAAGGGAAATCTAAGAGGAGTGAAAATGGCAGGGAAATCCATCGAAAGTTTGCAGTCTCAAATATGAGAAATCAAAGAGAGAAAAAGAGAGGAATGGAGAGAAGAAATGCTCAGTAAAAGTAAAGGACTGAACAACAGGAACCAAGTGAGTAGTGTCTGTAGTGCAACCAGTTGTATGGGCTTTTTGTACAGTCAGTGAAAATTGGTCTCCAAACTGCAAGAAAGAAACTGAAGGGAGATAGGATGAAGTGGCTGTCACTGGGCAGAGTTTACTGAGCAACACAGCTTAGGTACCTCCATATTTTTGATAGCTAAACTCAGGCAAAATGCACTGTACAATGAAAATAAATGCAGAAAGACTGATGAGAAGAAATGGAAATTTCGGAGTAGCTGGTCCAAATGAATTCTATTTATTACGTTTCTTCCTCATGTCCTCAGCCAGATGGAAAACGGAGTAGGCAGGAACACTGCTCCATTCTTGAGTTTCTCTAAACTCAACTCAAAAAGCTTGATTTGCATTTGATAAAGAAGGATACCTTTCTCTGCACCTTGAAGCAAGAGCACTGTAGCTGGTGTTTAGGCTCAGAGGAAAACTCTGAGAAGAGTTTTCTTCTCTTCATCCTGAGGCATTTAAACTGCATGCACTCTTGTAGACAGGGTTTAAGAGGAATACAACCAAAACTTTTATGGAAATGTTTGGTTTAGTTTTCAAAATACAGCATCAAGTGCAGGGCTTCAAGTTATAGGGCTCGCTTGATTTCATCCAAACAGGCAGCAAAATGAAGCCAGAATGTCTTTTAGGAAGTATCACAAAGTGGAAAAGGGATTTGATGAATCAGTCAAAGGCCAAAGCCAGGAGGTATGAAGCTGTGCGCCACAAGAAAAGCAGGGGGTGAAACATCTCAACTATAACTTGTAAGTTTGGTGTCCTCTTACAATCAGCAATCCCCAAGAATCCCCTCATCTTCTCTTCACTGGTGTATTTTTTTCCCAGAGTGCCCAGGGAAGTGGTGGAGTCACCATCCCTGGAGGTCTTAAAGAAATGTGTAGACATGGCATTGAGGGACATAGTTTAGTGGGCAGCGTAGGTAGTAAGTGGATGGTTGGACTAGATATTAGAGGTCTTTTCTAACTTCTATCATTCTATTATTATAGATGCTTCATTTTAGAGCATGAGGAAACTAGACCCCAAGCTCAAAAAACTCAAAAGGGATACAGAAAGAGAGGAGAAATGGCAACTCCAGGTCTGTGTTCCAAGCAGGAGGTGGTTAATTGTAGAAGTCTGTTATTTTGTGAAGCAGAGTACAACCAGTCTCATCAGGACACTGGTATGAATATCAGGTACTTTTGGTCAACACTGGTACATGACAGAAGCAACAGAAAGGGAGGAAAAAAGAGTTAGGCACAAAAAATAACTGTGGGAAGCAGAGAGGAAACGATAAACACTCCCATTTTGAGCAACCAAGTACCTCAGCTTCCAGCCATGTCATTCTCTCTTGAATAAACATGTAACAGTAGCCTTCGTAACGAATCCAGCCTTTCTGGCATAGACTTCGACAGACCTGCTTTGCAGATGAGTCTTGTTGAGACGGGTTAGGAATTATGTTATGTTCAGGCTTATGTTTGTCAGAAAAGTCAAACAAGAACCTAGCATTGCGATGCTTGCCTGTGGAGTTGCCAGCACCTGAAAGAAACACAGAATAAACTCAGAAGTCTCGCTCATCTTTCCAGAAAAGAAAGTATTATTTCCCTGTAACCTCTTGAATCGACTAACCCCACCTCAACATCTCACAGGCATGTCCACTAAAGTGAAACTACAAAATGAAGGGCACCCAGACAATTTTTTTTCCTTTTTTTTTTTTTTTTAATAAGAGAAGAAATAAGAAATGTAAAACATCAGTACATGAAGGGCACTAATTTAGGATTCAGATGCCATTGAGGTTACAAGCAGAATTAACTTGCTGTTGTCGTTACAGAGTCCAGTGGGTGCAGCAGTACTTTAGCAATCTATTTCAGTGTGTGGTGCAATGCATCACATTTGTGGATCTGTCCCCTGGAAACAAAGCAGCAGGTTCAGCAGGCCAGCTCTGAAAGGTGTGCAAGACTCTGTGGATTCCCAAGAGTCATCAGCATGTGGCTTGCCTGGCTGGAATTGTAGTATATTAGTCTCTCTTTGCTAGAGAGAGCCTATCTCTGCAAAAGTAATAGGGATTTCAGGCTGGTTCATCACACTGCTTTAGAAGAGAACAAAATACATCTGTCAGACCTGAATTAAGATGGATTTTGTTGAAAGTTCTTGGAATTGATTTCTTTCCAGTTTCCTTATTGGTGAGTAGTCAGCAGAGTTGGGTTCAACTTACAAAATATCATTGATTTCTCTCCCCAAACCACAGCTTGTAATTTCCTCTACAATTATAGAGCAGGTCTGCTTAGAAACTACTTGTATCCATTCAAAGTTTCATCTTGTGGAAACCACATTTCTCCTCTCTTTGGACAGATGTGCTTGGCACAAGTCCAGACCGAAAAAAAAAAAAAAAAAAGGAAAGAAAGAGGAAGGTATGTCAAATATTTTCCTCCCGTATCCTCTCTTTTCTGCTTCCTGAAAGGAGATTCACAGCATTACTGTTTCAGCACTCTCTGAGTGCTTTTGGATTTCTGGCCATCCCAAGCAGTGAGATTTGCTAAGGTGCTGCTCATGCCTTCTCAGAATACCCAGCATGTTGCAGTCTTTCTCCTCTAAGACAAAACAGGGCACAAAACGGTGGGCATGTCTTTTGCCCTGATATAGTGTCATGCCACCACAGCCTAGCCAAGCCAAGGTGATTGCACAATTGGCTCTGACTTGGCTAGCAGTCATACATTTCTCCTTGTGTAGAACTTCAGCAACACAGGGGAAGTCTCCACCTTCTCTTGGCATTCTCTGTGACCTTCAAAGTAACCCATCCCTGTGCAGGGAGTCCCTGCCGTGGAAAGAGCTTGGCTTCTGGGTTTGAGTGAGAGAGTCAGATAAACCACAGGACCTGGTCTGGACAGATAAATCAAGGAACTAATGACAGTTTGCAGAGCTTTGCAAGAGAGAAGCTTGCACTGTGGCAAGGTCACATGCAATGGCTCTAACTTCTGTTTTTCCTGAGTACTTTTTTGAAAAGGTCGAGATGACATTAAACTCATTTTACATCTAGAAAAATACCTCAGATCTTCAGCCTTAATGACTGTGAAGTAAGCCTGTTCTGGCAACAGAGGCAAAAAGTTGAAGCAAGGAGACAGGTTTTATGTCTATATACATACATACATATATATATGTATATGTATATTTACAATGTTAGACATACAACCAAATCACGTTAAACTCACCTTCTGAGCCAGAGAGAGCTAAGGCTCCAAAAAGGAAAAATAGAAACAGATGGGTCATTGTCAGGAGACCTGGTGATCCTCCTGCCTGTGACCTGTAAAGAGCAGGTGGTGGTCAGTGTGGTACTTAAACACTGGTGGAAGCAGGAAAGATCTGACACCTCATGAAAGAGACTTGCAGCGGTGTATTTCACTGCACTGGGGAGAGCATGCACATGAGGCGGACTGAGAACTGCAGGGCCTGTAGCATTGTGGCCAGCATCAAAAAGCTCAGCAAGTGACCTGCAGTGTATGTCCCTGGGGTCAATACTGCTGCCAATACTTGCTAAGATCTTTGTTAATGCCCTCTGTGATGGAACACAGTGTACCATCCATAACTCCACAGATGATTTAAAACTAGGAGGAGTAGTTGACATGCCAAATGGTTGTGCTGCCCTTCAGAGGGATCTCAACGGACTGGAGAAATGGGTAAACAGGAAGCTCATGGAGTTCAACAGTGCAAATACGAAGTCCTGTTTCTGGTTAGGACTAACCCCAGACACCAGTGCGGGCTGGGAGCCAACTAACTAGAAAGCAGCTCTTCGAAGAAGGAGCTGGTGGACAACAAGCTGACCATGAGACAGCCATGCACTTTAAAAAACAAGGACAATAGCCTCCTGGGTTGCATTAGAAAAAAGATAGCCAGCAGATTGAGGGAAGTAATAATTCTTCTCTGTTTAGTTCTAGTGCTCGGCTCTCCAGTACGAGATAAATATAAATGTAGTAAAGTGAGTCTAGCAAATAGCCACAGTGATGAAAAATTGACTGAAGCATCTTTCGTATGAGATGAGAAAGATGAGACTGTTCAGCCCAGAGAACAGAAAGTTCTGAGGACACCTCATTATGGCCTTTTAGTATTTAAAGGGAGTTTACAATCAGGAAAGACTTTTTTTTTTACATTCTGACAGTGATAGGATAAAGGGGAATGGTTTTAAACTAAAAGAGGGGAGATGTAGGTATTAGGAGAAAATATTTTAGTCCCAGGGTGGTGAGGCAGACTGCCCAGAGAAGCAGTGGGTGCTCCATCAGTGGAGGCATTGCAGGCCAGGTTGGATGAGGCCTTGGCAGCTTGAGCTGGTGGGTGGCAGTCCTGCTTATGTCTACAGCAGGGGGGTTGGAACTAGATAGGCTTTAAGGTCCCTTCTGACCCAAACCATTCTATAAGTTTGTGATTCTATAATTCTTCTGACTCCTTCCTGCTGTAAATTCTCCCTCTCAATCCACCTTATCCTTACTTCTTTCTGCCTACTCTAGTAGTGCATTTCCTTTTCCTTTGCTTATACAATTTATGGCAAAGTCATTACCTCTGCATCACTTCAGAATGTTGCTCAATTCACCAATCAGAATTTCAGATCAGAATCAGAGTTTTTTGTTAGATTTTCCCCCCATTTTTCAGCATAGATTTTCTCTTTCCAAATTGTCCTGTTTCTCATTTGCTTTAGCGCACACATGAAGAAATTATTATCCATCTTCTCTCTATACTTTTTTTTTTTTAAACCAATTTTCACATTTCTTGTTTTAGTAAATCAGCTCTGAAGCATATGAGCAGAATGCAGGAGAATGAACGGAAAGTAAAACAGCCCTGGCATTTGTCAGGGATAACTTGTAGGGAAGGTGTCACACAGTTGCTTTGGCAGAATCAAAAAAACACCTCCAGAGCTACTGCAGTGTATACAAGCAAGGATGAAACAAATAAGGACAGAATTGACACAGGGCTGAAAGCAGCAGCAGAAGGTTGGACATCATTCATTCAGTGTACGGGCAAAAAGAACTGAAATGCCATTGCTATGAGAAATAGAGAGATTTTGATGGACCTCAGATTGAGTTAACACAAATCATTTGGTTAGTAACTCCTACACAGAGCAAATCAAAGATAGTCCCAGTTTGCACATATTTTGACCTTCACTAGGCTATAAAAAAGCCGTAGAGTGATTTCATTTCAGTTGTTGTGGTGGCTCTGCATTGACAGTTGAGGAAAGAAGATTGAAACCATGCCTATTGTGAAATTGAAATCACACCTATTGCATGGAAAAGTTACATCCGTAGTGCTAAAGAGATAGAAAAGGTGTAAGGAGCAGATAACATATGAGAATGATACCTCTGTAAAACAGAAAGTGGCAGGTATGTATATTTTCATATAATGTACACACTCCTATGAACACACATGCATATTTGTAAACTTACATGAGCATAAATATACAGACATAAAGATACAAAACAGCTATGCAGAGATATTAAAAATGAGTATTTAAACCCACCACCTTTGCTGATAAGCTGGGGTGGTTCTAAGAAAAAATGCTGAAAAGAAGATACCAGTTTATGGATGTGTGTTCTTCTTCCCTTTAATTCCTTCCTCCTCTTCTCTTTAGGGGAGAAATCTTTGTCTTTGAGGTATTTATATTATGACAGCTTTTGCTAGCATGGTTCTTTGCTCTGGTAAATGAAACCACCTCCAATATTATCCCCCACAGCTTTTGCTGTGGGAGTATTTTCCCTCAAACATGGGTGGGTGGGATCTGGTTCTCACCATACTTTGTGTACACTGATTGAAATGTCTGTGTGTATTAGGGCCTTAATCTGAAACACACCCTTAATCTGGGCAATTAAGTGAGAAGTCACATGGGTCCTCAGGGCGAATTCCTATCTCAGCACCAGAGATGGTGGGGCTGTGCCTCAATCAGTGAGGGGCTGAGAGGCTTCTGTGGAAATACCATCACTGGACAAAACCAGGGCAATCAGCCTTGGCATCCTTAGCCAGTGCATAAACATGTTTTCTGTGGCTAGACAGGTGTGTGAATGGAAGTATCACTTAAGCAATTGTGTGCATGTGCTCTGTTTGTGCTCTCTTGTGAACAGGTACCTGTTCATCCCTGTGTTGGCTGCAGGGCAGTACCTAACGGGGACTTTGCATGAACTATCCCTGCGGGAGTATTTTTACATAAGGCCAGTACTGAGCTCTGCTGGTAAAACAATATTTTATGGTACAATGCTGAGAAGCTTTTCAAGCTCTATTAAATTTACATAGGCTCCTACCCATTTCTTTAATCCAGTTCAAACATCCTCATGTACAACAAATATCTTCCCTAGTGGCTGAAAAAAAGCCCTGACGCATAGTACGCATTTGCACTGATGCACTTACATAATATCCAAATATTTAGTAAAGAGGTTGAAATGACCTCCATTCTTCCTCTACATAAATACAGGCCTTACCACTGTTAGGCCCAGAAAAATCCATTCCTTAAAATTGTTCTTCACTCTTTGTCAGATGTGGAATATATTTCAACGAGGACATTCTCCATGGACACCACAGGCTGGAATCCAGGTCTTTCTTAGAATGGGTGATGTGGTTGGTTTTCATGAGCTTGCTCCACAAACACCAGCAGCTTCTTGGAATGCTCTGTTGGAAGCCCACACTCAGCCTCATCACTCAGTACAGTTGGTATCTCAACTCTCTCAAGAGAATGAGATCTAAAAACACATTGGGAAACACTTTTTTAGGTGAACTTTTTATGTACTGACTGCAAAACTGCACTTGACTTCAGAAAGCTGCTTCATCTTGCTAGGAATACAATGTAATATATATTCTCTGTCTTTGGTGATGACCAGTTTTGGATGAGGATTACTGTGCTAATCCTATGGTATGAGAGGAAAAAAGTGACCAGATTTTTATATCCACTCTCTCCATAAAATATTAAATATTAAAGAAGTTATTTATACAAAGCAGTAGTCTCTTTGCTACAGCTATATGCATAACTCCTACAAATGCTGATAGATTTCATCACATTTTTTTGTTTTATTCTTAAGTAGTAAATGAATTAACTGTGATCATGCCCTAAACATTCATTACCTTGTACTATTTGCTGGATCTTTTTGACAAATAGTCCTCGTGAACAGCTGTATTCCAAAATGTTCATGCAGGTATGTAAGCCATGCTTTATATGCTATTCTCTTGACTCAAGGAAATTATCAGTAATAAGATTTCAGGTTGTGAATTTAGCATTTGATTTCTATGAATATCTTACTTATTGGAAAGTTAGTGTCTCGTTCTTTTGTTTGCTAGTATATCTGTGCTAAATTTATACAGAATCATAAAATCCTCTGAGTTGGAAATAACTCTTAAATGCTAATCCAAGGTTACAGGAATTCAAGGGTCACACCTAAAAACGTGTTTTTCAAATTTTCAAGATCTTCACAGCTCACAACCCCTGATATAAACCAGCTGGCCACTGCGTTAAGACTTATCTGAAACTTCTTCCCTCTACTTCAGCTTCATCATTCAAAGATGAAGCTGGTTTGCTTGAATTGCAAAGAATTTTCATAGGACTTAGCTAAAATCTTTCTGCCTTTATGAAGATACCTCTTTGCTGTCTGGTTCTCATAGCATGGACATGTTCTGTTTCCCAAAACCACTGGCAGATGTTAGGATGCATGATGCTACTCATTTGCAGTCTAACTCTCAGCAGCCCCATGAATCTACACAGAGATAGTTTTGAAGGCTGAGCAGGAGTTTCACTGGGAGAGTCAGAGCAGTCAGCTGCATTGCAAAACAGCAAAGATGTGGTCAACCGAAACAGCAATGCAACGGCTGAGGTTGTGCAAAACACTTAGACCAGTTCCCAGAGCTCTCTGTCACACTTTCTATCTTCCCCTACTCTCCTTTTCTCTCCCCCTGCTCCTGTGTTGCTAGGATATGTGTCAGCAGAATGGAAATGATACTGTTCCTGGGGGAAATGAAATTTAATATTAATACTTTCTCCCTTAGAAAAGTGAAGGGTGAGTCAAAAATGAATAGAGTTTCTTTTATATATGAAGTCTTTCATTCTGCATGGTAACTCAAAGCACAGCACTGTGAATTTAATGTTACCAACTCCAGTGGCTGTGTAGTCAAACACAGCAGGCTTTGTGCATTAAGCAGTAATGTCTCATTAGCAGGAGTTTCACTAACAAAGAAATAGGGGAGAAATGCTCATCAGAGCATTTCTCTGTGGGCAGTATTTGATATAAGTGTCACAAGGAGCTCTTAATGCCCACTGGGCTGAAATCAGGTAGGATCACCTCAGTTAAATGGACCCAGCTTTCCTCTCTGCCTTTCCAGCCTCTGTGGCTTCCCGTTTCTTTATATTCCTCCTCAAAATGCAGCTTCCTGCTCTCTTTGGCAGTGACCTCTATGTCCGTATTGCCCTTTTTGTTTCCAAACAAGATGGTTTAATACAATTTGAGATGTCAGAATTTGATGGTCCAAAGCTGAAAGCATGCAGCTTTGTCTGTTTGTTCGAGTAAGAAAGCTACCTCTGCCCTCAGAGACCTTTCTGTCATCTCTCACTGTATTTGCGCTATGTCCTGCCATATCCTGCCAGATGCTGTTATAAGGAGCTGGTGCTTTCCCATACTTCAGTTCCCCATGGGAAAGGTGGTATAAATAAATAAGGATGACATAATCTGCATCTGAGATTGCTAGTTGGATTGAAATTAGTGTATTCTCTGAAAACTCTTGTAAGCTTCCTCTAGGGTGCAAACTATGATTCTTTTCAACTCAGTACCACAAAATTAGAGGATTAGAAGGAATTAAGAACTGAGACTGTCCTGTGGTGGTTTTTGGTGGTTCTTAACGGGTTGCAGTCGGTAACTTCTAGGATAAAGCATTTTCACAGTGCTAGTTTTAGCAAGTTTATATTCTTCTTTTCCCAGACGATCAGACCCTGTTCCTGGTGTACATGGTCCTGTTTTCTTCTCTGTCTCATTTTAAGGAGGGACAGGCATTTCACCACCTTTTTCTCTTCAGCAGTTGTTTCCCACCTCCTTCCATCCCTATCAGTTTTTACTTCAATCTGAAATAGAGCTGATCTTCTCTTTTTGACCATTTACATGACCCTTGTGTTGATTATAAGAAAATATATGAGTTGAAAGATGTTAGGCTGTTATTAGGACCTTGCTGCTATTTGACATCAGACAAATGTGGCTAAATTGGGGTGTTAGTTCCAGAGACTGTACCATCCTTGACTACCATGAGTCAACCGCAGTAAGGAAGTCTTTTCAAAGTTCAGTCATGTGATGGCTGGATTACACCAAATAAAAAATAATAGTAAGACACATCACACTTCACAACAAGGTCATTTTTCCCTGGTTTGTAGGCTGAAAGCTTTTGGTAGCCAAACGTACTGAGATATGCTCCATCTCTGGAGGCATTCAAGGTCAGGTTGGATGGGGCCCTGGGCAGCCAGCCAGTGGGTGGCAACTGCCACAGCAGGGGGGTTGGAGCTCGATGATCTTTAAGGTCCCTTCTATCCTAAGCCATTCTTTGATTCTATGAAGTAATCCTGTGCAGCCCTCCATGCTGGTGGATAGATATTTCCACCTGGTCAAGGAGCATATCAAACAAGAGGCCACTATTACTTCTGATGTGCTGCTTTCCCCATTTGTGGCCAGTCATAGGCAAACACAAAGGGAAGAGGGGGCAAAATAACAACAGATCTGAGGAAAATGAAGTGCTCTGTGCTTGCAGGATCAAACACAGATGGCCAGTCACAGATGGATGCTTTGGGCTGGCAGGTCAAACCACAACAGCCATCACTCTGATCACTGGCTCACTTCCCCAGTTAACTGTGTGGCCTGGTCAACTCTCTTTCTCTCTCTCTTTCCCAGTCTGGGCATAACTGCATTTCTCTGTTGGCTGCAGAGCCATCAGTCTCAACTCAGATGAAAATCTGAGAGTGAGACTTAAAGAAAGGTCAGAAGATGGAAGAGGAGATTTGAATGCAGTGTAAATGGGAGAACTGTGTACTTTTTGGTCCTTGCCCAAGTAGTGGATGTGGTCAGGAAGACTGAAGGTAGGAGGCATGGTATACTACTGGAGGTAGGCATCTCTTGGTGTCATTGTGATTCCTCAGGTCTAGCAGGGCCTTGCTGCTGGAATGGAGTAGATACACGCTGATCCCTGCCCCTTCTAGAAGTCCTCCTTTCCTCTTTCACCTACTTGCCTATTTTTTTTTTTCATATGCAAAAAGTGAGATGAACTCATCCCTTCATTATCTTATCTCATTACTTCTGCTGTATCTTTTAATTAGCTCATTTCCGACTCCAAGCAATCTCTATACATTCCTTGGGGTTTTCCAGCTGGCGGGTTTTATTGGCATAATTCAATCTCCCTCTCCTCCTTTTCCATCTTTGCTGTCTGTGCTCAGTGTTCAAGACTAACAGAGTATTTATAAATCTGTGCATGCTTCCCAAGCTAGCGTTCCCAACTACTGTAAGCCTCACTCATTATTGTTCATGCTTGTAGAAGTCAACAACCAAATTTAAGGAATACTCAGCTTTACTAGCTTTACTGAGATCAACAAAACCTGGCAAAAATACTTTAAAGTCTTCTTCCTCCTGTCCTCATTCTTGGACTTGTAGTCCCCAGCCAGTGATGAGCTCTGCTGGCATGACTATACACTGTGAATGGAGCTGCTATCTTTTGGCCTGCTGCCATCTGCCGCCTCAAAGTGCCCACCATTTTGGAGCTAACAAAGGGGATCTGTAACCAGGATTGTGTCATGGAAACATGCTCTTAGTGATTTTTTAAATGGTTAAAAGTGTTCCAATATATCCTTTACTCTGTACTTTTCTTTCTTGTTTTTATTCTCTGCTTCATTTAATAAAACCCTGCTGCAAGAGAACAGTGAAAGCAGAAAAAAATATGAAAGAAAAATCCCATTCAAAGCCATGTGAAATTACTTTTGAATCAGATGCAAATTTGGTCCTACTGTTCACAGATTGCAGTGTGCTGCCTTTCTGACAGGATCTGAAGCGAAGAAGGCAGAAGTGTTATCTCTACAGCACCATGAAACTTAATGATAGCAGGACTATGAGGAAAACACTGTACCACCACCATGTGCTCAGTCTCCAGCAACAGAGCTCACTGGGTAAGTGCCTGCTGGCACTGCTAAGTACATCACTAACCTAAAGCAATTGGAGCCTAGAGTGTAAAGCTGGAGTTGGAGAGGAGGTTTATGGGCTGTGTAGTCGCCACATACGCACACACAAATGCACACGGGATAGGAAGGCCTTGTGGAACCTTATGACTATTGAACTGTACCCTTCTTGTTGGAAATTATGACCGCACCAACAGGTCCAGACTTTGTGCTTCCAACTTTTCACATGAATTTCTTCACGGCGAAAGTGCTTGTCCCCTTCCACTGTCACTAACCATAGAAAAGTTAAATGCAGACAGCTGGAGAGTAAATGCACAGATGGGCTATTTGTCCTGTCCATCCACTTGCTCCATAGCCATGTTGCCTATGCCTTTATGTCTTTTTTCTCCATGCTCTGTAGCTCAGTGAAAATTATGAATCTTGGTCTTCCAGGAAACATTACAGTAGCGTTGCAACCTTTTCCTGAGAGAACACTGTCAGCTGAACCCTTTTGGAGACATGCAATAATATGCATAACATGAGTTTACCTAATACTGAAGAATTGGATATCACCCAGGGATGGTTAGGTCTCACACAGTTAAAGATTACTTTAGGACAATACTAACACTGGTTGCACTACTTAGATTTCTAGGAGGGAATGTTGGTCTACAGTGCACCGAAAGAAAGAGAGAGATGCTGAATGTTGCCCATTTTGTTCTCCTAGCTGAGCCCATATCTTTGATATTTTAGACAAGTCTGCTACTACTCTCGTGAATCATGGCAAGAGTAGTGCCACATCACTAGGAGATACTGGCTGTTAGCAGAAGGCTCAACAGCTCCAGATTTTAATTGAGTACGGTATCTTCAGACTCCATCATTCAAACTTGGTGAATGTCAGTTGGCTTTACAGACTTCTGCTGCTGTGAGCAGTGCTGCTGTGTGTGTGTGGCTATGCTGGCTTTAGTGCACTACAGGAGCCTTCTTCAGTACATGCTCCCACCTCTGCAGCAGTTCTAGGGGCACGTGGTCTCGCAATCCACTTGGGCAGCAGCAATCACAGGACATGCATATTTATCTGATGACAGATTAATTTCCATATTCCCCCACCTGTCATCCAAGTCACATTACCCAAGAAGTCAAGTTTTATACCTCCTTCCTGGACTAAGCTTGTGAGAAATCCCCCAGCAAAGTCTCATCTGGAAAGATGTCTCAATTGAAGAGTTCAGCTGGCTCTAAATGAGACAGATTGTACAGACACACTAATCTGAAGTAAAGATATGTCTGACAGCTGCTAAATTCTTTCTGATCATCACTTTCTGTTGGGTTATTCTGCCTCTGGTGAATGTAATCCTAATAGTATTAACTGTATTATTTTTCTCTGTTCTACCATCATCCAGGAACTCGTATAGGTTAAGTCCTACCAGGTGAACATGGTGAATTCTTGTCCTTTAGATCCATGTTAAATAATTAAAAAACACCCCAGCTGAAATAAATAAATAAACAAATAGAATCTGGATTGCTGTTTCTAAACTATGTGTTTATATGAGCAAAAGGGAACAGGTTTGTTACAAGAGTAGACCGGAAATGGCTTACAAAGACAGCATGAAACTGTTCCCATCTGGCCATGCTGATGATTTAAGCTGGGATTTTCAAAGGCACCTGATGTAGTGACGTGCCCAAAACCAAAAGGCTTTGCCAAATTTCCAAACTTTAATGTGGAATGAAGAGCACCACTGCGTGCACCACATCTGAAATACTCCACTCTGCAAACTTACTGGGTGTTTTGCTGACCAGTTTTGTTCCTGTTTGGAAGGGAAATTACTTGGACAAGATTAGTGTTTTTGCTTTCTCTCAGCTCCCCCAGTCATCTGTAGCAGTAGCAGTACTTTGTTCTATTTGCTCTCATTTCAAGGTCTTCAGTGTGTGTCAGCAAGTCTACTTAGGCTTGGCAGGGAGAGAGATGTATTAACTGTTCTGCTACACCATTCCCCTGGAGTCTTTTGATTACCTTTAAAAAAATAAAAAGAAAATTAAAAAAAAAGGGTTAAAAACATAGAACAATTAAGAATCTCCATCCTGCTTCTGAAGCCTCAGTGATGTTACCAAGTGCCTGGACACCTTGAACAATAAAACAGCCTGTCTAATCATAGAATCATAGAATGGCCTGGGTTGAAAAAGACCACAATGATCATCTAATTTCAACCCCCCTTCTATGTGCAGTGTCACCAACCACCAGATGAGGCTTCCCAGAGCCACATCCAGCCTGCCCTTGGATGCCTCCAGGGAGGGGGCATTGGGATGATTATGAAGCAAAGGAATGTGATACTTAGGTGAGATTTCAAACCTTATCTTTCAGTTAGCAAGTACCCTCAATAGACAAATGAAATAGGATGAGGTATACAGGTTTCTGATAGAAATGTGTTGAAGTCAAGTGAAGCAAAGACAATACTGCTGATGGCTATACTGTTGTTGAACAATGAGGAGGATGTACCTAAGGGCTGATGGCACTAAGTGGCACCTTTTCTCATGGCATCTTTTCAGCAAAATGAACTTACACAGCTACAGCTAGTCAAAATTTTCCATCTGTATTATTTTCAGATAAAAATGGGGCTTAAACTAAAAATAAACCCAAAACCTCAGTTTTCCAAGGAAAATCTTTTGACTTGTGAGGTGTATTCCCACCACATAGCTTAGCTGATGCAGAAGAACACTGCATGATATACTGCTATGATACAGAGAAAATGAGCCATTTGGGGCTTGACATGACAAAGCTTGTGCATATGATTTTCTCTCAAGAAATGTATAAGACTGGGTTGAAAATGAGGCCCAGCTTTTTAAAATGAAAAATAAACACTTCCCAGAGGAGAAAAATAAGCTCTTAACAATTTTAATTAATTTTGTATCTGCTCCTCCCCCCAAAACCAAGATATCTGGGAGCACGTACAGGAATACCTCCAGACACTGTGCTAACAACCTAATAAAAATATTTACTTTCATTGACTTTGATTCAATTAGTGATTTATTTTAATTATCTGACAGAAATTAACTACCTTTCTTTATTAGATCCCAAATAAAATTAATTTAATTTAATTCTACTGACTTGAATAACTCACAGAGGGGAAGAGCTGAATATTGGCTGGCGAGGAGTGCAGGCTGTTCAGCTCCTTGCAGAATGGGACCTTCTGAAGGCTCCCCTCTCCATGGGCTTGCTCTGCATCTCTCCAGCACTTGAAAGGATCACAGACTTGTAAGGGATAATGAAATCTCTGTACAATTATAATGGATTGCTAAAAGTATCAGAGTTGTTGTAAATAAATCATTGTATCAAGCTCATTTAGACTGAGTCCTACCCTCAGATGGCTTGTAACACATTCCCAGCTCTGAAAGTCAGCCATTCCTTCACAATTAGATTTATCACTAATCAGAAATGGAAGCTTTCCTTGCCAGCCCTGAACTGCGCTTGAAAAAGTTGGGCTTCAGCCTCAAAGCTGTGTTTATTCGTTTACTCAAATCTAAAAAAAAAAACCACCCATCTGCAAAGATTTAGGTGGCCTAGCTATTAATTAAAATATATGGTGACTACCGCACAGTGTGCATCATCCACGTTAACCCAGCCATCTAGTAAATCATAGCAGCAGAAAGTTTTCTTTCACCTCCATGTGCTTTGGCAACACACCTTCCATCCTCCTCAAAAAATCCATTACTTTCATAGTTTACAGCAATCATGTCCCTGCAAGCCTCAATTGTCCTTTTCCACAAAGCCTGGCAGGAAGAGGCACATGAGAAAGGAGCCAAATACGCGTTGTGACCGGAGACAGAGATCTCTCCCAACTGGTTTGGGTGGTACGCCAGTGGGATTTGTGTTCTGGAAGGCTTCGGGTCACTCTTAATTCAGGGCCAAATTCTCATGCAGGAGTAAAATCCTTCTCCCTCTCCCCCATAAATAAGCAAACAAAATTAGCGCTAAGCAAATTCATCTTCTGCAAACATGTATGTTATGATTTTGTTGAGAGCAGGTTGAATGTGAGTCAGCAGTGTGCCCTGGCAGCCAGAAGGGCCAACCATGCCCTGAGGTGCAGCAGGCCAAGCACTGCCATGGGGTGAGGGGTAGGGTTGTCCCCTCTGCTCTGTGCTATGTGGCCTCACCTTCAGTACTGGGTGCAGGTCTGGATGCCACAACATGAAGACACAAGACTATCAGAGAGTGTCCAAAGGAGTGCTGCAAAGGATATTCTGTGATACCAGGGTATCACATGATATACTGTGTGAGTGGATGTAAATAAAATCCCTTCACCATTGCAGTCCAGCCATCTCTGGGCAGGTATGGCAACTGAATAGCAGTACTCATATTCTGTCATCAGTGACACAGCAGAGAAGTTTTTTATAATATAACATGGGATTACTTTATTCTGAGTTTCACACTAGGAAGGGAGAAAGTAATTACAGCTAGAGCAAAAATCAGCTGTGTGTGGGAAGAGACATCTGGATATGACCAGATTATATTTTGTAGTTTAATCCTTTTACTGTTTCACAAATAGATTTAGGTGTCAAGATACTCTTGGAAATTTCCTTAATGCAATGATTCCTCAGTGAAATTTATTTCAATGAGCAGCACTCTGCCAGTCTGTATACACAGTCTCCAATGCCTTCTGAAGACACAGAAGAGTTTTTCTACTACTATGTGACCTCATGAAATAATAATCCCGGACTTACTTCATGTATAATTCTTGGTCCCTGAGGAGATGATTAAAGAGAGGAAGAAATGTTTTGTCTAGGGACAGAAAAATTGTGGGAATAATAAATATCATGTGGAGCAGAACTGCGTGAGGCAGCAACCCAACACCAGCCTCCATCTGGATATTTTGTGCCAGGTCTTTGGGAGAGTACAGTCTAAGCTATTAGATAGAGACTTGAAAGTAGATAGTATTAAAAAAAACATTACTGTCCTCTGTCATAGATTATTTTCTACACCCCAAAATCTAATGTGTTGCACAGAATGGATTAATTCTGACAAACTTTCTCTCTTGCTGACTATGTTGGACATACATAAAAATGAATATTAACAAGAAGCATTAATGGATCTTACGCTGAAACTTTGTCAAGCATGGCATAACATTCCTATAATAAAATTTTACTATTTCAGTACAACATGTTGTTCAGTAGAGCCCAGTTAAACATAGCTATAGCTATTTGGTATATGGAACCAGTTAATATAGTAATTGAGTGGCATCATGCTTTAGATTTCAGTTAAGTGGTCACAGCATATTAGTGCAGGTATCTATGGTCTAAGAAAGCTGCTGTCAGCCAAACCTTGTAGGACGTGGTGCTGCAGAGTGTGAACATGGCCAGTCACATATCAAAGAAAGTTGTGCAACCTGGTAAGGTGTGAGGGTACAGACCTTCCTAACTCTGTAAAAGGAGAGTTCCTGAGACACTTAGGGCTATCCTTTTAATGCTCTTCTAGTCCCTTGGTCGTGAGTATAAACTTCCAGCACAGCTCCCAAGCCATAAGGATGAGATGCAAACATCACCAGAGAGGATGCTGCTCTATAAAGAAACTCAAAAGTGGCGCCTTTTTGTTTACCAAAAATAACCTCTCTCCTCTCCATAGCACAGATGAGCACTGTACAAATACCCCATATGAATTCATGCTCTTTGTTTCCAAAATAATTCAGTAAATCTGTAAGATCTGATGACAAAGGTAAGGGTGAAAAGATCCATGAGGCATCCTCAGTCACAGTGGCATACCTCTCTGACACAAGGATTGCAGTAGTGAATCAGATCCACGGTATCCACACGAGAACCAGTAATGTGCATTGAAATAAAGCAATTAAACTGGATAATATGTTTCAATGAAACTACTGTTTCAATCCAGCAGGAGCAGCAGGCAATAATTTCATTTTATTTTAGAAAACTCTTCTTTTTTAAAAAGGGCATTTTAAAAACTCATAAAAATTTGAGTAAATGTAAAGGAAAGTCTTTAGTCAGCACTCAGAAAAATGAGAAAATGGATGATTTAAGATGAAGAACCTATAAACTAGACCTTCTTGAAGTTATCAAAGCCAGCAGAAGATCTGATAATAAAGGGAACATTTAAAAAAATAAGAAAATGAAGCAGAATAAAAAGTAGTGACAAATGCTTCATATATTAAAGCAATTATTGTTCAATCTGCTGCATTGTAACATTAATATAGCACAAACTTTATGAGCAGCTTTGTGAATTTAGCAAAAATGAGAGGAGGCAGTTTTGAAATCTTCACATCAAATGGTTGTATAGTGATTCAGCTGTGTCTGTTTGATCTGGGCATCACTATTAAAGCTGAAATTGTACTGTGGGGTCCAGGATGATCTTTGCTTTTCACTTTAGGTAGTACAACAACGACTTCATGCAGAGCTTATGTCACATGTACAGCATGTACTACAGCAGGCATTAACAGCTTCTCCCATGTCTGATGGATTGCATGCTTGTTCATCACCTTACCTGGCCACAGTCACCAATTTCAGAATCAGCAGCAACTGCTTTTGGCCAAGTTGTAATGAAAATCATGAAGGACACAAGTGCCAAATGCAATCTTGGTCTTCAAGGTAAGAGTGACTGAGTTTGAATTAGTAACCTGTTGTTGGAGATTGATTCATTATGTGCTTGGTGGACTGAAGCCTACATTTACACTGTCTATGATGGATAGTCACTTTGGGCATTTGTTAAATTCTTACCTCTGCTGGTTGCAAAGGATGTGGCAGACCTGCCTAGTGTCCCTGGGTCATGCATTGCTCTTCTGACAATAATGGATGTCTTAACAGGTATCATCTCAGTCTAGCTTAGGTGCCATTGTAGATGG